AAAGCCTGAGTGAGGCCACACCTGGAATGCAGCATGCGGTTTTGGTCGCCCCATTTGAAAACAGAGACTGCCCGGGGACTGAAACCTGAAGAAGGACGGCTGCAGGATTTGGGTTTGGCCAGTCCGGAGAAAAGGAGCCCTTAAGGGAGGGGGGGGGACAGGATAGCAGTCTTCCAGGGTTTGAGGGGCTACCAGAAAGAAGAGGGGGCTCGGCCTCCGGAGCCCCAGAAGGCAGGAGGAGAAACGACGGATGGGAGGCGATGAAGGAGAGAAGGAACTCGGGAGAAACCGCCTCAAAGGGGGGGGCAGACGTTGCCTCCGGGAGTTGTAGCTGCTCCATCCCTGGAGCCTTTGGAGAAAAAACGGGGCAGCCGCTTGTCTTCGAGGGCAGGGGGTCTCCTGCCTGAGCAGGGGGTCGGACTCCCTTCCAATCCAGGGATTGGCTGCTGCAGCCCCTCAGCCTCCGGCCGGCCCTTGGAGCAAGAATCCTCAGGCAGGAAGAAGAATCCCAGCCTTCCTTTTCCAAGAAGGGGGGGTTATGAAAAGGGCCCCTGGCTCAGGCCCAGCCTTTCCTCAGCTGCAGCTCCCGAGCGCTTCGGCCTTGGAGTAAGGCTGGTGCCTTGGGAAGGGGGGGGGGGCTGGTGCAGCCCTCGTGCCACCTGGTGCGAACCCAGGAGTTGCGCTCCCTTAACCCAGGCCTCCTGGCACTGAGCCTGTGCTCTGCACCCCTTTTCTGCCTCCCTTCCCCTCCCGACTGGGCCTGTCCTCCCCTTCTTGGCTTTCTTGGCCCAAGGGAGGGGGTGTGGGGCAGTTTCTGCAGGAGGGAGGAGCCCCTCCTGGAAAGGCCCCTCCTCCCCTGGGCTTCCCTCGCCTCTTTGGGGGAGAGGTATTGTGGGGGTGGGGTGGGGGGGCTGCCTCTTGGCCCATGGCCGGCAGGAGAAAGACTCCTCATGTGCTCCCCCTTCCTTCCTGCTCCTCCTTACAGGCCTCCCCCCCAGCGTATGGGGGCCCCAAACTTTACTCTCCAGACTCCGGCCCCATCATCTCTGACGTGACCGAACTGGCCCAGTCCAGCCCCTCTCCCTGCCCCAGCAGCAGCAGCTTTGAGGAGGAGAGGTAGGGGGCTTCTCTGGGGTTGGGGGCTTTCCTCAGAAGGTGGGCCTGTCCCTCCCGGGTGGGAGCCTCTCTCGGCCTGCCTCTGGGCAAGGCTGCCTCTGAAGGGGAGAGCCAGCCTAGAAGGACGGGGGTGGGAGAGAAGTTGCCTTCTCTCCATAAAGACCATCGGTGGCTTTTAAGAAGAGGCCGCGGAGCCACTTGCCTGAAATGGGGTAGGGTCCCCCGCTTGAGAAGGGGGACCCCCAAGGCTGCTCCTTCCAATTCTCTTACTCCATTCTCTGTCCCCAGAGTTTGCTCTCCCCCTTCGGGCAGTGGCTGCCACCTTTGCCCTTAAGAGGAGGAGAAATCAGCTGGGAGGGGGGGGCAGCTCTGTGGTGGGGGGGGGATCCTCCCCATTCTTGCCTGCAGCCACCAGCCTCGTCCTTCAAGCCCCTGGTCTTCCGGCCGGGCAGTTTGCCCGCCTTCATTGCCCCTCTGCCTTCCCCTCGTCCCCTGGCCTGTCTTAGGAGCAGCCCCGTAGTCCGCATCAAGGAAGAGCCCCCGAGCCCCTCGTGCAGCCCCTCCGCAGAGGAGGCCAGCCCCCTGGACGCCCCCCTCTCGCCCTCCGCCTTCATTGACTCCATCTTCCGAGAGGAGCAGCCCAGCAGCACTTCGGCCCCAGCCCCTCCCGGCCACGGCACCCGAGCGCAGCCCCAGGAGAAGTGCCTCAGCGTGGCCTGCCTTGACAGGTAAGTGTGGGGCCTCGAGCCCAGGCCTGGGGGGCACCACCCCCTCTCTTGCCCACCAGCCGCCCCCCCCCCAGCTCCACCCGCAGGCCTGCTGTAGCCCAGGGGAGCCCAGCCTGGGCAACTGGAAGAGACTCCTGGGAGTGGAGATCCACAAGAGACCCCCCCTGACCTAATGGGCCTTATGGGTGACCCAAGCAGGCCAGGAAGGACCAGGGTTCTCCTCTCTGCCCCAAAGGCCCTTCTGTGTCTGGGGGGAGGGGGGGCGGTGTTGTCTTCCCAACAGCTCCAGAGCCCGGTAGAGCCAACTCCCAGTCCCTGGTTGTAGGAGGTGGACTGGACAAGAGGGAGGGGGGGTCCCTTAGGTGATGGGGGGGATCCTGTGGCATAAAGGGTATCGTTTCTGAGCCCCCCCTCCGGGATGTGAGGTTCAAAGCCCCCTAAAGGCCCAAGAAGGGGAGGGAAGCCCCCCAGGACCCTCACCCACGCAGGGAGGGCAGGCTCAGTCTGGGCTGGCATCCTCCCTCCCTCCCTCCCTCTCTCTGTTGGGAAGAGCCCCGTGGCCTGAGGGGGCTGTTGGGGGGGGGACCATCGCTCGGGCTCTGCAAGGGGCAGAAGTGGGCACCTTTACGGGCCCTTCCGCTGCTGCTCACTGAGCAACGGGCAAGGAAGCTCCTCCCATGACCGATTGTGGGGCTCCCTGGCCTTGCTGTTGCGTCCGTGGCATCTCCTCCCCACCGGCAGGTTGTCTCTGCTCCGCCTCCCCCTCGGTGCCACCTTCACCCTCAGCAGCAGCAGCAGCAGCAGCAGCAGCAGCTCCGTGGCTGGTCAGCCCCCCGTCCGCTCTTCCCTCCCTCCCGGTGGCCCCTCCGTGGGTCTCCATCGACTCTTCTTCTTGTATCTTTCAGTGTGGGCCGAGCTCCGCAGATGTCTGAGGTC